CCCACTTTCTACAGCATGTCCCAGAATTAATGTAAGAACGGGAAATGGGGAGCAGCTGAGACGATTCTGAACAACAATTTCATTGTTAATAATTCAAAAATGAACCACCATCCGACATTTTTGCAAAGGAAATTGTGATTCAGAATCGTCGCAGTTATCCCCATTTCCGGTTCTTATACTAGTTCTGGGACACCCTGTATAGTTAAGTAGAACGTTGTACCATGAATAAGGGGAATCGTGGACAGTGTCTAACGATTCCTTCCAGGACTCTCTTTTTTACATCTACGCAGCAGGACGAATCGAATCGTCGCGCTTAACGCTAGAGTTGCACGCACAGAGTCAGGAAAACGCTGATTTAACAGTAACCACACGCGAGAAAAAGGGAACTCCTGAGCGTGGAAAAACACAAACTGCGATAAAGAAAAGTAGATCGTTGCGTGACAAACATCGATCTGTATCTCTGACTTTCCCCAACTGTTGACCCAAAAAATCGCGACGATAAACATTATATTTAATTTCAAACACAAGAGGGAGTACATAAAACCTTAAGCGTCTTTCCTCGCGTCCGACAGCGAGGTTGTAAATAAAAATGTGCTTAAATTCTGCTAACAAAAGACACGTGCGAATATACGCACTTGTATTGGAGTGACGCAGCATTCAATTAATTGTTTATAAGAAAAAGAATAGAAACAAAATATTATACGTATCGGTAGGAATTTTTATAGATAGGTGATAATGGCAATAGCAAAATAACAATTAAAAATAGGAAGGTGACCAGAGGTAACGATGATAAGGCGTTTGTTTGCAAAGATAGCGCGTCAGATAACGTGCATTAAAGTGCTGCAAACGAACCAAATATGAAACGATTTTATCTCATTGTAAATTAGCTCTAACCGCGTGATAATACGACGATACAAATTCGTCTTAAGTAACTGATAACTTTCGTACCAAGCTGCGACAAGTTCTGCGCCGTATTTATTTATTTTGACCTGCTACTGTCTTTCTAAGAATGTTAGACTTATTGTTATCCGTGTATTATAGGAATTAACGAAACCATCAACCAAAATCGCCATTTGTTGCGATCACGCGATCGTATCCCGTTAATCTTAGATATAAACGGAAGATTAGACGAATGACTCGAACGTTGTACATAACGTTTAGAAAATTTCTATGGAAATGTTAATCTTTTCGCCCCGATTGCATAATTAAAGGGGGGATTTATCCTCCAGTATCCTCAGATGCATATATGTATAAGCTGTACGAGGAAATGGCGTTTAAAAAGAATAAAGAGGTTATCCCCCGGATGTTATTGCATGGCTAATGATATTATATATGCAACCTTTAGTATTCCACGCAGAATGGAAACAAAATGATGGTAATCGGAGCTATAACTTCAACACTTGGTCATGAGAATTCATTATACATAGATAATATAACCGTTCTATTTTAACAAATGTCAAGAATTTATGTCAAAATTGTAGTTATTTTGAGAGATTGCGTGTCACCGAAGAAGGATAAAGGAACGACACGATTAGTCATTCTGTAACGCCACTTTCCTGATAAGAGAGCGCATGCGTGCGTGCGAATCGGGGAAATACCGGTTAGCGAACACAATATTTACAGCGATTCGTTGGAATTCTCCCGCGACGCGAAGATCGTGTCAGTCGCAGGAAACGCCTGCACGGTGGTAGTGGTATCAGGTACTGAATTTTCTCGTATATTTTTATTTCTATACAATTTTCCAACGTGGAAATGTGAACTTTCTCGCTGTTTGGGTCACGAAAATATTTCACCATAATTTGCAAACACCTGTGCGGTTTTGTTAATTGATAATTCACATACAATGTATAGTTTGATCAAGTGATACAGTTCTATAGATCGCAGATGCTTCTACGTTTATTCTTGGATGTAAGAGATATTCCTTTCGCTTACCTAAAAGCGTTTGTCACTAAGAAACTTCAGCAATTGATTCTAAGGGCTAAGTGTTAACGAGAACAAATATGGATAGAGTTCGTAAATTTTAATGATAATACAAAAAAAGAAAAATATACATGTAGAATTGAGTAACCTCCTCCTTTTCGAAGTCGGTTAATAAGTAATACGGCAAATGTTAGATTCTATAGTTCCTGATTGCTTCGAGACCAAATTTTAGTCCTATAGATATTACCATGTAAATCAATCTAGCAGCCAACGTGTTAAGGGGTAAAGTACTCTGACCTCATAGAGAAGGCGAGCAACTTTCAAGGAATTTTTTACGTGAAAATTATGTAACGTACAACGCTCGAATTTAAATGCATAAACGTGTGCACGTGGAAGTATAACTTGAATTTATATTGAAATATATATTGGACGATGATGACAAGTTCTTTTTTTTAATACTACTTCGACTGACACCACGGGATCTCAGAAAGTACTTATCCCATCGAATTCAATTCTTCGCGGAATAAGAATAATTTGTCTAGAATTTTTGAATTTAAAAAAAAAAAGTCCTTCCTGATTTATCGACGCAGCATATCCCACATAACCTTTCAAAAGCCATGAACCACTGATAGACTATCAGTGATAAATCAGCGCCATGGATACGTGAAACCAGAATGTGTGTTCGCGTAACATATTCGTAAATTTCTAAACTTTGTTTTCTTTCCGAATGTCATATGAAGTCCAAGGATCGCAGTCCACGAATAGTAAACAACGATCAACATGCGTGGATATTGGAGCTGTTTGGGGCTGCTGCTAGCACTTGTGCAGCTTTCATATGAGGTAAAGTTGACATTTAGATAAGAATGTTTAACAATAGTAATCATCTCTAACTAAATGAAATCATTTGTTATGTGAAACAGGCGGTATTGGAAAACAAGGATTACTATGTAGCTGGAGTGGTAGAGTTTAGTCCAGTTAGTGTTAGAGATAATGGAGTAGAGACAATAGGAAACAATAGCAATTTGTACATAAAGTACATAGAACAAGCCAAACAACAGGTGAGACGAATTGCATATAACTTGACCTGACTCATTGTCATTGTTAGCTCACACATAAAAACACATTCTACAGATGAAAAGATAGATTTCTGTATAACTAACGTTATGTAAATATTACAGAATGTTGATATTATCGTATTCCCAGAAGATGGATTGACATCACTAAACATGCCTGGCTTGTTAAGCATGGATTGGGCTACAGTGATCCCTGCACCTGAAGAAAAATATGTTCCATGCACAGGAAATCGAAGTGGTGTTACACAAGTAAGTTACCTTCCTCTTGTATACTTTAATAGGGCCTATTTGCTGAGTACTGCTGTGACTGTATTAACACATCATTTATTTTATGTTTATATAGGCATTGAAGAATATATCATGTGCAGCAAAACAACACAGTATGTACGTGGTTGTAAATATCGCCGAGCATGCAACTTGCTATCCTGCCGACAAATGCCCTTACAATGGAACGCGTTACCACAACACCCAGGTGGTGTTCGACCGTACAGGACAAATAATAGCAAGGTAATGATAATTTTACGTTTTACTATTGCTTTGCCTCATCTCGTGACGTTAATACAACGCAATCATCGTTACGCCATAAAACAGATACCGCAAAGTGAATCTCTACATGGAGCATCGATTCCATCCTGCTGATCCACAAGAAGTCATTACCTTCGACACTGATTTCGGTGTGACATTCGGTACATTCATATGCTTCGATATATTATTCTCCGTTCCTGCTTTAAACCTAACAAGGAATTTAGGAATTTCTGATGTCATCTATTCTGCCGCCTGGTTCTCCGAAGCACCATTTTTAACGGGTAAGTTGCGGAGTAACAGTCTGCTCGTATACCACGTATAACGGTGAAAAGAAAGGTAACTCTTACATGGATTTCATTACAGCCGTTGAAACCCAATTCGGCTGGGCCTACGCCGAGGACGTAAATATGTTAGCATCTGGATATAGTCGGCCAGAAGCTGGAAATGGAGGAAGCGGTATTTATTTAGGTCGTCAGGGAATAGCCAATGCGATACTTTCCGGTGATCCCAAAAATCGACTGTTGGTCTCCCGTGTTCCGAAAAAAGCTATGAAGAAACCTCGAACGGAGTACATACGGAGCGATCCCTCGAAATTCCCAGCGAATGATTACTACAGAGCTGACTCCAGAACCAAAATAGTCAACGGAGTTGCTCTTTTGCATGACAATATCTCAGCATTCGAATCTGTTCCTCTGAAAGGATCGATGAATCAAAGTCTTTGCCATCGAGGGTTCTGCTGTAATTTTAACGTTACCGCGAATCTCGTCGATGCAACGACCAACTATCGTGCCGTGATTTACAACGGGATTCGCTTTTACGGTAGAGAAGTAAAATGCGGCATTCGCGTATGCGCTGTGCTACAATGTTCGGACAACACGCTTGCTTCCTGTGGATCCGTTGTCCCATCCTCTAGTTCATTTAGTAATTTGGAAATTACGACGACATTGGAAGACTACACGCAATTCCTAGCTATGCCATCTACATTGCATACTTCGTTGTATCCATTTGAACAGTGGACATTCGACGACCATAAGGACGGGAATCGAAAGCATCTAAAACTTGCTTTGAACCAGGTGGCCTATAATATTACCACGTTTGGTATATACATCAGAGACTTTAACAGAGACCAATGGATCATCACAAAATCTCAAAGCGATCTATTTGCAAATGATGTACCTATGACCGGTGTTTCTGGAGCTAGCTCGTTTTCCGACGTTTCTACAATCGTTTCATTTTTAACAATTTTAATGACTTTCACAATTCATGTAATATCTGGGTAATCAAATTAATTGGCACGAAAAGTTCCGATTTAATGTGTTCAGTACGTTTCTAAATAAAAAATTGCAAAACTCTGCAATCTGCGCACAAATTATCGCCAATTGATACAAAAGACTTCACGGTGTATGAATGATTTTCTCGAATACTGTATATACATTGCACGGAAACGAACAGAGCAGCCAAAGAATGGAAGATCGATGAAAAATGTCGCTCGTCAAACTGTCATGCACCGATCTTTCCGTTGTGACGATTCGAATATTTAGGAACTGGTTGAATGTCAATCACGTTTGTTCAAAAAATCGGTACGCTCATACCGATTTGCCACGACCAAATTTCAAAGAATTTCGCCGAAAGAAGCTTCAAGACCCAAATGTGTCTGCAACGCGAAGTAACGATGAACGAAGAACAGCGACCTACGCTGCGTCTTTCGGTACGTGTATCAGAATTAAAAATTTTTCTAACGAAAAACAGCGAACACATAAACGTGATTATATTTGAAAAAACATATTTCGGATGAATTCTATGATAACAGTGTTATCGTCTTGTACGTAACAAATAAATATTTATTTGTTTATCTACTTTATTTTTTAACAAACCACATAACATTCCTGTTCTATTTTTAGTCATAGAATATGGTTGTATTAGGTTGTCCCAAAAGTTTCTTTCGCTTTATTAATAAATAATACATGCACAATATTTTATGTTTTATGTTACATTACTGAATTGTGCACGATTCATTTTGCTCCATTACTGTTATAACATGAATATCTATGAAATTAGATTGTCTATTTATATAAACACGACCACATAAAATAATTGAGTGCAACTCGCGAAAGAAACTTTCGGGACAACCTGATATATTTTAGTAAAGAATATAAATTTCTTTCAAACAAATCAAATTTCCCGCGTTACGAAAATGGCGTCCGCCCAAATTTCCCGCGTAAATAAAAGTTAAAGAATGCCCAAATCTGAGTAATAATTACACGTTTATTTGCCAGTTGCCAATGTCGCAGCTTTGTATGGAATAAAATCTCACATAGTACACTACGTACTGTTCATGTCACCGTCTCGAGACATTTTAGCAGAAGCACAAATCGAAGTTAGCTTGGTGGGTATAACGCCAGGGAAGGTGTCGATTATGAAATGGCAGGGAAAGCCAATTTTCATTTACAATCGGTGAGACAAATAGTATCAATGTTTCCCGTGCAAAACTACAACTCTGATAAAGCTATGAGTTACCCTTTGAATACGTTTTCAGTCCTCAATCCATCATAGAACGAGAGAGACTAGTGAACGTTGCTCAGTTAAGAGACCCCGAAAGTGACGAAGAAAGAGCAAAAAGACCAGAGTGGTTGATCGTTACAGGAATTTGTACGCATCTTGGATGCATCCCAATCCCTAATGCAGGAAACATACCTGGTGGATTTTATTGTCCTTGCCATGGATCACACTTCGACGGAGCTGGACGAATACGCCAAGGACCAGCGCCTACTAATATGGAGATACCCAAACATGAATTTCTCGATGACAATACCGTCCTTATTGGTTGATTGAACTGCCATCACCATACCTAATTCTCTTCTTTGTCTTCTCACTATTCCTTCACATTCTATAAACTCAATGTTTGATAACGAAATAACGATACATTTGTAATATGTAAAACGAACTGTTCCACTTTTCTTGTGTTGTCAAGCGACTAATTTCAACTGGAATTGCAATTGCAAACGAGCGGGAAGAACACTAGCGCCACCGTTCGGCTATCTTCGATTATATTCGGTTACCCTCGCGATCCCAGCTCCACCATTACATCGTGCTGTTGGAGTTGTTTCTGTTTTTCATTGTTTGGTTAGTTTTCCCTGTTTTCATTCGTACAAATATAATTGACTGTTTTACGCAATGACGCCGCCGATGGAAAGAATACAGATCTTGGAAACGATCGAAAAAGATATCATTGTTTGCTTACAAAGTGCAGGTGATTAATGCCACTTTATTTCACGCTCGTCTAGTGTCGATTTCTGCACCAAATGACACGTTAGTTCTTGTTATTGTATAGGTCAAGCGTTTGTGGAGCTCAGCAAAGAAAAGTCTAGCTTGAAACAAGCCGAAGCACAAACTCAACAATTTCTAAAAACGCTAGGTCATGTGGAATCCAAGTTAAGCGAACAAATCAACTATTTGACGCAAGTTTCGACAGGTAAGTACTTCGTCTACCGATGATTCGAAACAATTATTCAAAGTTACTTAAATCCTCATTTGCTTTGCGTCTATTTTAGGGCAACCACACGAAGGCTCTGGTTACGCGAGCCAAAAGGTTCTGCAAATGGCGTGGCATAGGTTAGAACACGCACGAAGTAGAGTAAATGAGCTCGAACGTATTAAGAATAAACCAAGATGAACAAAAATTGTGGATTGTCCTCAGCGACCTGTAATTTTAATTGTAATAATCAAATCCAGCAAATGGATATTGAGATTTTGCAATGAACGTCAATTGTGCATTTCGTATAGGTTGGTTTGATAATTACCAATCTTTATTTTTTTTACGCATCGATTTCGTACAAGATAAGAAAGGTATAAATAATTTTATATGTTTATTTATTCGTCCTTGCTACGCCTTTATTAGAAAATAGAGCGGTAGAAAATTTATGGTCTAAGGAACATTCTCATCGTAAAACCCGGATTACATTGTATTAAAAAATTACGAATGCAAGTGAACATTTGTTGGCTACTATGATAAGGAATCATAATAGTGCAAGGAAAAAGTTCAGGGCACCGAACCATCTACGACCCCCATACTACGTTTCACCGTAGCGGCTAAAGAAAGTCTCGATCTTCTCTCTTCGTCCAACTGTTTCGTCAATAAAGACATTTGCGATTGCAAATCTGTCATTTGACTTTTTAACGTTTTCACCGTTTCCGATAATATCCTACAAATGAAGTAAACGTACAATATCGACAGTTACGTTAACCCACTTAAAATTTAATAGAACTCACCTATTGCTACAAAATTCCCAGTTTCCTCTGTTAGGCGTTAGAGATGTCCTATCGCGTGCTTTGTTCGGACCATACTCTAACATTGCTGAAATACAAATATAACTTATGATATAACGTTACTATTCGTCAAAATTATTCCGTTTGAAAAAATAATCGATGTAACCTACAAGTCGATTCGCCAGAGTGCACGGTAAACCTAGCATTGACGGAAAGACAATATGCCTCGATCACCTTCAATATAATCGCATCTTCTTCGAATTGTCGTTCGTCTACAAGCGAGAAAGTGTATTATTCTTTATACCGATATATTCTCGTAGTTCAAAAAGTTTGACTTGAATTCATACTAGAAGGTCGTGGTGCACGTGATAAATCCAAACTGTTATCAGTTTTACCAAATGCCCTGAAAGTGTACAGAGGAGGAGCTGGACGTAACGAAGCGATACACCATGACGTTCTAATCCCTAGAGATGGACAGTGTTCCGCAATCGATCGTTGCTGTTGTTGTGGTTGTTGTTGTTTCCCGTTCTGTTGACTGCAGATCTGGTGGATCAGGAAACACAAGAATTAAAGCTATAAAACATCGTGCATCAGCAACACAGGCTCGCTATGAATAGCTAAAGTGTGATTGAAATCTCGTAAACATGCCTCGTTGTGTCGTCAAGTGTTCTACATACAGTATTCCAAAGGTACAAATTGCAAAGAAAACTAACCGTTTATGTGTTTAAAACGGATTCTTTCTTTCAATTCGATTTCTCGCGTTGCGTATCGGTATTAACAAAGCGAAAGCTTACTTCACACAACATGGCTGTGAAACGAAAGCATACGCTCGTTATATATGGTAAGGTACTACATACATACAATTAGTAAGAAAAAACGGGTGAAGACGTTAACTGAATGAAAAAAAAAAGAGAAAACAGCCATGCCATGGAAGCTTGCCTTGATCTGTGCATCCAGAAAACGGTATAGATTTCTTCAACCACCAATGAGCGTACAGCCCCGACGTATAGACTTGACTCGTTCCGTCGTAATCGTCTGTGACGATAGGACGATCCGGTTGAATCGGTTTTCTTCCAATTTTTCGTATGATGGTTTGATGAGCGTACGGTATCGGTTGAGTGAACCTTCTCTGTGTCGAGCGTTCGAACTCGTCCGCGATGCCCTCTACTTCCGTTTTGTCGACGTCGTGCAAAGGGTGATCAAAATTCTGAGTTGCATCGGTTGCGTCGCGAATCGAAGGACTTAAAACGTCTTCGATACTTTTCGATAAATCGGACAGATGCGCGCTATCCCTGGGAGTGGAATCGAACGGCGAGGTACAAATGCATTGGTGCTCGAAGTTGTTCTCATCATTTTCACTTTCGCCTAATGAAGTTCTCTCAGGTATTCTGATATCGTACTTGTTACCGATGCAAGTGTACGATTTACACGACGAATTGATTTCGAAGGAGTTAAATCGATAACTCTCGGCCATTCCCGAATCCGATGAATGTACGCTAGCGTCCACGCGAGAATCTAACTCGATCGTCGGACGTTGTACGTCGGAAGCAACGATGATCGGTTGCTCTCGATTACATCCGATGCTTTTCCAACAGTTCATCGCGCCTGCAGGGTCCACGTGTTGGTTCTTTGTATTACAGTGTCGATCACGATAGAAATGACGCGCGATGGGAAACGAAACCGGAAGTTCGGTTTCGTTCGCGTTATCAGCGACGGTAATACCGGGCAGAGTAACGGTAGACGTAAACACGGCGACGGGTAAACTTTTGCTGGTATCGCGCGTACTGCTGTGTTCGGATACGAACTCTGAACCGTTCCTTATCCCCACTGTGCTAAGATCGAGATCGCCCAATGCATACTTTACATCAAGAGTCAACGTAGATTTACGCAACTTGGAGGTATTGTCGTATCGTTGCTCCCCCACGATTTTATTCGTCCCGAAACTCGTTTCGGAATCGTTGGACCCACATCGGCTACTATCTCGCATGGGATAAATCGTATAAGTCGTTACGTTAGGCTTTCGCATTTTTACGTTACTTAAATCTGGCTTCAAAACATATTGCAAATACAGTAATTTCTTCAGTAGTTCGGGACGTATAATCTTTCTCCTGACCAGCTTGGCAAAATACCTCGAGAGGCGAGCGTACGGAGGTAGATTACAACTCACGCGTGACGTGGTCGACGATTTCACTAGACTGCTGCTTGTCGTTTGTTCCTGAATCAAAAGTTCGATCCAACGCTGCTGATCCTCTTTAGTGGCGCAGAGCACGAGTATGCTCTCGATCATCGGCCCTAAGGGAACAAGCGAGAAGGGGAAGGAGAACAAGAAACCGAGAGACTTTTACGAAAATTCTCGACGGTTTCCTCCGTATAGATATATTTATCTTCTATTTTATGGGAAACGAGTATTAATTCTTACCTGTGATTTCAAAAGCGTTTCTAATTTCGTCGGTATCTTCCGTTTGAATAATATTAATGCCAGTCAACGGAAGTTTGCCCTGTAAAAGAAAAAGGAATGTGTGATCTAAAATTGTTCGATCGCGCATCTTCGTATTAAAACTGGCGGTAAGATAGATATGTGGTTTCGAATATACTTCGTAGACGAAAGAACTCATCCTTGGGCTGGCACTGAGCACCAACAAAGTTGTGGAAAAAAGAACGAAGTATCTATCTCGACGATCTAGTCCAGTGGCCCCTGTTGCTAATGTGACAGATCCGACATAAAGAATTTCTCCGAGCGAGCTTAACTCCTCTCCTTCCCATCCTTTAATACCACTAGTTAATACTTGAAGTGCTAACTCGCGTTGCTTTCGTATGGATGCACATCGATCCTATCAAATAAAACAGAGAATAAATACAGGAATAAATATTGAACAATATGTTATTTGTGAGTATGATAAATATACATACCGCTATTTCTCTGTATACTACTATACTGCGCTGAGTGTCTCCTCTGTCAGGATGATTCTTTTCCATATATCTTTCTAACTCCTGAAGCATGGCTGAGTATTTATCTAATCTTCGAAAGGGTTTACTAAGTCCAGTCGTCAGTACTAATATACCAGGTGATATAGCTCCACTATCCTCCATAAATTCATTTAATTCATCTCTATAACGAAGCATTACTTTTGGACATCAATTTGCCTAAATTTAGAAGAAAACCCTTAATAACTTCCTGCATATACCTGTAGCGGTCTAGAATGCACACTGCTCGCGGATGATTTCCGCAATACGTTGTATGAATGGATTTCAATCTTGGTGCAAGTGTTAAGAAAAGGTTTCCTACTCTAGAAGAGCAACCTTGCGTCATGGCTGCTTCTAAGCTAGTAAGCAACCGTTGATGCACTTCTAAAACTTCATGCACATTGCCTAGGAGTTGCTTGTACTCTTCCTTGTTTAATCTAAACATAAGATTTACAAAGAATTCAATTAGCCGTGTCTACATTATTGAACAGTGTATTTACTTACACATTGGCTGCTTCTAACGGATGTAAAAAATTATTTATCAAGCCCTGCAATTCTGCTACATTCACTCTTTCGGAATCAACTATATCTTTTAACACGATATCACGGTTGAGTTTATTTTGTGTGGGTGATTCTTGTACAGTTTTCTCTGGAGATGTCTTGACTGTTGAAAGTCCACCATCTAAGTATGAACAAGCATCAGAAGTAACTATTGAACTCATTAAAATTATCATAATAGATC